CGCCACAAACCCTAGAGGGGAGGGGCCATCACCGCCGGCGTTGTTTGCAGCGACATGACCATCAACCTCCCTGATCTCCTCGTCTGCTCTTTCCACCTCATGTCCTTCATGCGACCAGCAGAGCAAGCTATCTCCTCCCTCCACCTCCTCCTCTCCACCCATCCCCTCCACACGAGCATGTCGGGCTGACGGAGTACCTCCTTCCGCCATGCCTCGAGCTTCAGTGGACAAGCGCATGGATCTTGGCCACGAGGATCGCGAGGAGGCGCATCACTCCATCGTAGATGAAATCGCGGTGGATGGGGAAGAATTTGGAGAAGATGGCACCAAGATTCGGCCTTGGGCGCCACGCCTTCGCCCTTGCCTATCCATGCTCCTGACTCTTCAACCACCTTTAATGGGGCAGGTTCCCGGGCGCAGTTCCTCTCTGCCGATTACAAGGTGGAGCATGGTCGTGGCCGTGACAACGCTGCACATGCGACGGTGGTACCAAGCACCCGGCGGCGTCCGAGACCAACTCCGGCTGTTCCTACGAGGAACACTTCTACTGCGGCAGCAAATCTTCCAATTCGGTGAAGAGTTCATTACCTTTTTTAATGTGTTGATTTGATTTGTTAACGAATGATCGAGTGTGTTGAATAGTTAATCTATCTTTTGTAGATGTTCACACAGGAGAAACTAGCTTTTGGACTTGCCTTCAAGACATTCAAGAAGGGATGCAGGTTTGTACTTAGTGGTACTTAAGAATTGCAAATTAAACATAACTTATATACATAAAACTCCCTGCTAGCATCCACATAGACCCCAAATGAGCGACTTGCATTCAAGACATTCAAGAAGGGATGCATATTAGTACTCCATACGTGTTCAAAATAAGTTAACTCATTTATTTTGGAACCGAGGGAGTAGTAGTTAAGAATTGCAGATCAAACATATCTTATACACATAAAACTCCTGGCTAGCATCCACATAGACCCCAAATGAGTAAAATTGTGTAAGAAAACATCCTCTAGGAAAAAATATCTTACCGCGTGCTGTGCGCAGAAGATCATGACCTTTGTCTTTGGACACGCCCACGCAGCCCCGCAGCCCCGCAGCCAACCAATTCTCGAGAGGGCAAAACAGTAAACTTGGCTCTCAACTTGTAGCGGCTTTGTCCGTAGCTCACGCGCCCCCCCGGTCCTCTCCAACCCCACGTTACGGAGCGCACCGACTGGGACCCCACGCGTCACAGGGAGAGAGGCCACCCGGCCTTTCTTTAACCTCGCCGAGGCCGGGCGGCGCGCTGTCGCGGCCGTGATTTTTTTTACTTAGCAGCGAGATTCACATCGCAGCGGCGGTTCCTGCGTGGGACTAGTACCATTTTTTCCCTTTCCCCATCATAATATAAGGGGGCGATTACAAGATGGAAGGGGTCCCTGTCGCTGTTGCGCCCGAGCGCCACCCACACCCACTTGCCTATTAGCTGCTGCTACTTTGTGCTCTTGCGCCGTAGTCTCCTCCCCCCTTCCCTTCGCCTGTTCTTATCTGATCTCCACCCCTCTCCCCTCCCCTCCCCTCCCTCGTGCCTTCTTCTCCCCACCTTTCCCCCACCCTCCCGCCGCTGTTTTTCTCTTCCTAGCTCTCCCAGGTCATGGCAAAGGTGAAAAGCGGATAAAACTAGCAAGTGGGAGATCGACGCAGGTGAGCTCATGCTGCCCTGCCATCTCCCTTTTCTGTTCATGCGTTCCTGCTGCGTACGCTTCTTCTTCCTCATCTATCCTTTTACCATGTGTTTTGTCCGTGCTCTTGATTGGCTAGGGCTAGAGGGCCTGAGGTAGGCTAGCTATGCGACCATGCCTTGTTCTTTTGGGTATTTTTTCTCTCTGGATAGATGGATATTTTCGGGGGTCCTATAGAGTTGCTTCTGCAGCAGTTATCAATTCCAGTTTGTGCTTTCTTTGCTCTTCTTTTTCATTGCTCCAGGGAGATATTTTTGGATGAGTCCAATTCCCAGAGTTCCCTTCTTACTTTTGTTCTGGAAATCTGGAATACATAGCACCTAGCGTTTTTGGAAGGATTTTTATTTTGTTTTGTCAGGGAGGAATGGAATGCTATTCCTGTTTTCTCTTATCAATCAGGAGATGGAAAATTTCCCGTCTCTTCTCCGTTTTGATGCCTGCTTCATCCATTTTCTCTATTGTTTTCTTCCCCTTTTGTGGGCTATACTACTACTTTGTTTCCTTTTGGGTGAGCACATGGGTACATGTTCTTGTTTCCAACTGTCGATACCTGTTTTACATAAAACATGGCTTTCTTCCCTTGAAAAGGGTTCCCACTGCTTTCTCATCATTTTGGCCAACCCCTGCGAGTGATTGGATCAAAGCAATCCTTCATGAGGACGCTTAGACATGATTCAATTATTCTCGTAGGATTATATGGAAACAGTTCTAGTATTTGGTAAAACCCTGTGTGGGCGGACAGATGTGTTCAACTTTCTGCCTTATTCTTCCATTAGTGTATTACTCCTATATTTTTTTAGTGGTCATGCATAACACACCCATTTCCGTTAGTTATGCCGTCCGATATGATCATGTCACAGAGAAAAACAAGATAAGGCTTCTGTTAGATCAGTTGCCTCTGCTAGTTGCGTGCGCTGCCTTCTTGACTTGATGATCTATAATTGTGAAGGAGAGGATCATAGCAGAGGTGTGTGTGGTGTGGGTTAGATAAGATCGACTGCGTTTTGATTAGCCAGACACATGCAGGCCGGGCCTTCCGGTGCTTGCTTCAATTGCCAAACTTGCTTTTATGCCACATGATTGTCTCGGCTCCGGGTTAATAGATCTGGGATGTTTTGTGAACTAATACAGCTGTTTACTTTAAGGAGAAGATAGGAACTGGAGCACATATGTGTTAAGTCACCGTCTAATTACCTGATTAAGTTCCCTCAAAGAAAACTAGTACCTCATTAAGATAACTACTACTAGTAGTATTATGGCTATTTTAAGCTTTATTGCTCTTAACTGTAATTGCCTCTTTAACACTAATCTTGTTGCACATGTTGCCTAGTTATTGCGTTTAGACTCAGCAAGCAATAAGCCTTGTAATTAACCTGGCCTCTTTGCTTGCTTCTGTGCAGGTGAACACCACCACAGCTACAAGTAGTAGTGGAAGGAAGTGGAATTTCTTGTGTGGAGAAAAAGAGCTGCTTGAGTGACCATGATGGGAGGTGGGCTGCTGATGGATCAGGGCATGGCGTTCTCCGGCGTGCACAACTTCGTGGATCTGCTCCAGCAGAACGGCGCCGACAAGAACCTCGGCTTCGGCTCCCTTATGCCGCAGACATCCTCCGGCGACCAGTGCGTCATGGGCGAGGGCGACCTCGTGGACCCCCCCACGAACAACTTCCCGGACGCCGGTGAGGACGACAGCGACGACGATGTGGATGACATCGAGGAGCTGGAGCGCCGCATGTGGCGCGACCGCATGAAGCTCAAGCGCCTCAAGGAGCTGCAGCAGAGCCGCGGCAAGGAGCAGGCCGCCGGCGGCGGCGGGGCTGGCGACGGACTGAAGCCGCGGCAGTCGCAGGAGCAGGCGCGCCGCAAGAAGATGTCGCGCGCGCAGGACGGCATCCTCAAGTACATGCTCAAGATGATGGAGGTGTGCCGCGCCCAGGGGTTCGTCTACGGCATCATTCCGGAGAAGGGCAAGCCCGTGAGCGGCGCCTCTGACAACCTCCGTGCCTGGTGGAAGGAGAAGGTCCGCTTCGACCGGAACGGCCCGGCCGCCATCGCCAAGTACCAGGCCGACAACGCCGTGCCGGGCTCCGAGAGCGAGCTGGCTTCCGGCACCGCCAGCCCGCACTCGCTGCAGGAGCTGCAGGACACCACGCTGGGCTCGCTGCTCTCGGCGCTCATGCAGCACTGCGATCCACCGCAGCGAAGGTTCCCGCTCGAGAAGGGCATCTCTCCTCCATGGTGGCCGTCCGGCGACGAGGAGTGGTGGCCGGAGCTTGGCATCCCCAAGGACCAGGGCCCGCCCCCGTACAAGAAGCCCCATGACCTGAAGAAGGCCTGGAAGGTCAGCGTGCTCACCGCTGTCATCAAGCACATGTCGCCGGACATCGAGAAGATCCGGCGCCTCGTTCGCCAGTCCAAATGCCTCCAGGACAAGATGACCGCCAAGGAGATCTCCACCTGGCTGGCCGTGGTGAAGCAGGAAGAGGAGCTGTTCATGAGGCTGCACCCGGGCGTTCGCCCTCCAGCGTCTGCCGGCGGCATCGCCAGTGCCATATCATTCAACGCCAGCTCGAGTGAGTACGACGTTGACCTCGCCGACGACTGCAAGGGCGATGAGGCCGGCACCCACAAGATGGCCATGGACGATCCAACCGCCTTCAACCTCGGCGCGGCCATCCTGAATGACAAGTTCCTCATGCAAGCGCCCATGAAAGAGGAGACCGGCGATATGGAGTATGTCCAGAAGAGGAGCGCGGTGGCCGCCGAGCCGGAGCTGATGCTGAACAACCGCGTCTACACCTGCAACAACGTCCAGTGCCCACACAGCGACTACGGGTACGGCTTCCTTGACCGGAATGCGCGCAACAGCCACCGGTACACCTGCAAGTACAATGATCCCCTCCCGCCAAGCGCGGAGAACAAGGCAACGCCACCTGCGCCGCCGCAAGTCTTCCCGGCAGCCTACAACCAGCAGAACCATGGGCTCAACAACCTGGATTTCGGCCTCCCCATGGACGGCCAGAGGTCCATCGCCGAGCTGATGAACATGTACGACACCACCTTCCCGGCCACCAACAAGAACATGGGCAACGACGACGTCACCATTATAGAGAGGCCCAATGCCATCACCCCAGTAATGGACGAGGGTTTCTTTGGACAGGGCAATGGAATTGGAGGCAATGGCGACAGTATGTTCAGTGATGTGAGTAACATGATGCAGCAGCAGCAAGCACAACAGCCACAGCAGCAGCAGCAGCAGCAGCAGCAGGCCCCGGCGCAGCAGCAGTTCTTCATCGGTGACGACGCGCAGGCGCAGTTCGGCAACCAGATGGGCAGCATCTCCGGCGCATCGGATTTCAGGTTCGGCTCTGGCTTCAACATGTCTGGCACCGTCGACTACCCGCAGAAGAACGACGGCCCCAACTGGTACTACTGAATGAAGAATAAACTCCTAGGGTCATAAGCTTTCTTCGTGGCAAAACCAACCTTGTGTTTCCATGGGGAAGTGTCGTCGTCGTCCTCCTAAGAAGTGGGTAATTCTATAGGTCTTCTCTTAATTTTCATATAGGTTTTGCAGTAGTTGCAAATAGGCTGGAACTTGGAACTGGTTATATACATGTATGTCCATCCAGCTGGTGAACCTCTTCTCTTATGGAAAACTTAATTTTATTCCTAGTTGAACTTGTTAGTTAAAATGCTGTTCATATGACTGGCTGGCTGTCAAATTGCTTGTGTATTTGTTGATTCCGTTCCTTGTGATTGGTGAATGTATGAACTGGTGCTCTCTTATGTGATCTCTCTCTGGTGATGACTTTCAGTTGGATTTTTTTTGTGTGCAAAACTTCCAATTTTCAATTGGATTTTTTTTTTGTTTGCAAAACTTCCATGCCGGGGAATTTTGTTAAATAGTTAGGCAGCTACGTTTGTTTGCCAGGCTGGTGGAAATTTTGCCTGAATTAGGTTCACTTTGGATGTCGGTATAGAAACGGACCAACCGAGATCTTTTTCTTCCCCTGAACTTTTGCCGTAAAATAAATTCATCCTGTTGAGTTGCTTCTTTTTATGTGGTGTGAGAGATCTAGTGACTTTCACATCAAGACGCTTAGAAAGCTGGTATTTGATCCTCACTTTGCCTAAAGCCAGGTGGGTCAATTCAAAGTGGCAAACCTAAGAAAAGTTAGGCAACGCTTTGAAGTGTTTTTTGGTGCTCGCCAGAAAATAGTCTTTGCTTGGTGATCTTAAAAAGAAAGAAACATGGATCGGGTTGGATTTGATGGTCCTCGCTTTGATAACCATCCCCTTTATTGCTTGGTGGCACCTATCATCCGTGGCCGTGCATCTTATCCCTTGGCCTGGCCTGTCAAGCCAAGGTAGTGGTGGGACTTGTGACCCCTCCTCACATGCTCTCAGTCTCACTCTCCGAGGTGCCCCTGTCGTGCTGATTTTCATGGAGGCAGCGGATCGGCGCGCTAACAACCATCCGATCGAGTGTTTGATGACTGAGGCTGAGGTGCGTGTGTATGAGGAGTGACAGGTGACGAGTTTCTTCGCTTCGCTGGGCGATTAAGTCTCTGTGGGCATGTACAATGGTGGTATATGGATACATATGCCTCATGATAAAAAGTAATTTGAGGTATCTATATTTATTTGTTTTTCCCAATGCAAGCTACTATTAGTGGGCCTCATTAAAAAATAGAAAATAAGGATTTTAGTACACATGCATCTCTACTTTTCATTCAACCTTTCAGCTTTTGTCACCGTACCATACTTTTTCTCTTCAAGCACCCGCCTTCTGGAGAGGATCCCGCTTTCCTATCCGAACCTACTTTACGTCATATTCGAACCTACATGACGTGCGAGGCATCACCTTGACACTATGCATTGTACATGCCCTGAATGACCCAATGTGTGCGAGAAATTGACAAGTTTCTGAATGACCCAGTGTGTTTCCAGTCGTAATCCTCGCTTGAAGATCATGTGATGTATCGTACTACTATACCACGGAGCTGGAGTACATGCTGAAAAACATCTCAAACTGGATAAAGATACATGTTGAAAAGGGCCACAAGCAAGTCTCTCTTACCAAGAGTTTTTGGCTGGGGGGGCTATAATAAAATTAAACACCGAGGGAAAGGGTTAACGGTTGAGTTAGATGTAAGCCAAGGTTAAGCGTTTTATGAGGACGCCGAAATCCGGCGATGTGGGCTCAAAATCGTTCTCGAGATGTGCCTAATCTGCCCCTTAAAATAGGTTCCAGACAACGAGCAAGATAATATAAGAAAAACAAGTGGCTTATGTGACTCTAAATGGTCAATTTGTCCCTTGGATATTATTGTAGAACGCGGAAGCTGGCCTGTAGTTTCTTGACCAAGAATTGTCCGCAAAGCCTAAGCTAAAAAACCTGTAAACTATCTACTACTCTTTTGGTGAAGTGACGTGCAACGATGGTGAGAGGAAGGAGCAAACCACTCGTGAAATTAACTACTCCAGTAGAGCAAAGATGCACTTGAAACATATGCTCAAGAACCTTTTTTTGTTGTTGTTTTTGGGTCACCAATTTGTGAAGTTGGACTGGGTAAAGAGCATCCGTGCTAAAAGGAAAGGAGAAAGTAAACAACCCCCTAATTAACCATGGTTTGGTCTCAACTCGCAAGTGGCACTAATGAAATAAGCATAACAATACTATTAAGAGAATCATCATCGTCATCATCAGGTGATAAAAAAGTGAGTTATGAATCGATTGGCTGTTGAAGAAGGGCCTTGATTGGGTGGGGAAACAAAGCGCACCTAACAAAAGCTAGCACCATCAACATCAACTGGACACAGCTTAGCGTCAGTGCAAAACCGAGAATTATTTGAATTTCCGGGAAGGTTTATATATAGTAATAACACATGAAACAGTAGGGTTTCTGGTGGAAACCCCAAATGATCCGCACCCTGGTCCCTACACGGCATGGCATCTCATACAGAGACAGGGTGCCGCGCAGCACAGTGCGGTAGGACACCGAGGACGGAGATGGTTCCACGGGACCGGAGGAAGAAGATGATGAACAGGATGACAGAGAGTGGTGGCCGAATTGGGTGCATGCACCAAGTCCAAGTGGCATGGGTGGTGGGGGGTGGCGTGGCTGCCTGCCTTGCCTGAAAGCAACGGGTGAGGGGAGGAGGCCAGCGGCGTGGGCACCGGAGGGGAGGCCGGCCGCGCCGCGCGGAGGAGAGCCGCGATCCGCGTCGCCGTGTCCAGCCAGCCTGGCTCGATAACTCAGTACGACCCGACCCGACGGAGTCAGGACTGTGGACGCTGAAATCAATTCATTCATTGCGATCAGTGTGGCTCCGACATGGGCTCGTCAGTCATCAATCGGATGATGGGCGATTCCATCGTGGCCTGACAGGGATGTGCCAGTGTTGTACATGTACATCACTGGCTACTGACCAACTCTTAAGCTGCTCAGATCCGTGTAGCAGTATTTAGCTTTTCATTCTGTTAAAAATCTATTGATTTGAGTTGCAAAGCCGCCTACAATTTGTGCCACACAGCTTCCATGTACTGGCCAGTGGATGCGGTGTGGTTGGCCTTGCCCGATGATCCCAGATTTGAGGGCAAGGCTGGGACTGCCGAAACAGGGAAGGGAAGGGACGCCGGATGAACTGTTCGTGGGGGACTCGGATCAACTTGTGCGGGCCAGGATATTCTGTGATCATGATGCGTACGCGCAATGTCTGTCTATACGATACGATACGACAAGAGCATCTGGATTCCCCTGCCTGTGACATGACGGATGCCCAGTCCGCGCCTCTGCCTGCGTTGTAGATCTTCCTGTTTTGAGGAGCGCCTCAGTGTATGTGTGTAAGAGATGTCGCCAAAGCCTTGGGAAGCTTTGCCAGTATTAGGGGATTTTTTGTCTAAAGAGACCTTCTGTCCAGTGGATTTGCCAGAAAAGACTCCAATTGACAAAAAGAGCCCCCTCATTCGTGGCGGCAGGCGCGACAAGCAACACGTGGCACTTGCCGCCACGGCAGGAGGCGGCCGCGCGGGGCAAAACGGTTTTCCGCACTGCGACGGAACGGGCCTGGCGATGTGGGCCACACCGCCACTAGGCGAGGCGGCGAGCACTACCACTGCCGCTCCCTGGCCGGCAGCCCCTATTGCGCGTGGGCCGAGGCGTGGGCCAGGCCGCCTCCGCGGGAGGCGGCACTGCTGTTCGTGCTGCACGCGCGACAAGGACTTAGACGGTGATGATTCCCGTGCAGCGCTGATTATCACGGGCGGGAATCTACGGATTTTGCCCCCTTGTGCCGACACTGGTTGCTTTTGCCATGCTAATGCCCTGGTGCTGCCCGGGAATCACTCCGGCTTTTGCTTCTTTTGCCTCAGCGAATGCGACGGCACCACGGGAATTACTCACACGATGCGGGAACCTGTAGGCTGTACCTCCGTTGTCGCTGCACGCACGACAACATCCCTGTTGCAGACTGCAGTGATTGTTTCTCACACGACTATTCCCACGCATGCGGCTCGACAACCTGTGTTGTGGCAGACAGCAAGGATTCCCACGTGACGACGCTCATTTCCACGGGCAGGAATCCGATGCTCGTGAGGCCAAGGCAGCAGAAGAAGCTGGCGATGGAAAAGAAAAATATCCACGCTGGACTCAGTAGATCCCTGTGGTAGTATATTAAATTTCGCAATCGTTTGTATCTTAATTCCTGCAGTTTAATGTAGCTTTATTTCAGTAGTTAAATGTAGCTTCATTTCAGTAGTACGATGTATCTTATTTTCAGTTGTACCGTGTCGTAATAAAAAATATATAGTTTTAGAACATGATTATCGAACATCATGCAACAACTACAAAATGAAATTAAGATAGAACATAATGCCCTACAATAAGAGAGTACAAACTAATAATGCAATTACATCTAAATTAAATGGTAGAACTGGAATACAGCTTAAAAACTACATGAAGACATCATCGTCATCCTCCGTCGATGCAGAACTCTCGCCCTTCGAGGATGCAGAACTCTTACCCTTGGACGATGCAGAACTCTTGCCCTTCGAGGATGCAGTACTCTTGCCCTTGGACGATACAGAACTCTTGCCCTTTGATGATGCAGAACCCGAAAGCGGCGACATGAAGATATCATCTTCGTCCTCGCTCTCCTTAGTCCATAAAAATGGATGCTTTTCTATAGTCCTTCTGAAAGTTTCACTCTTCGGCTCCACTACCTTCTTCCACCTTGCATGCAACCTAAGAAGTTCTTTACGTACCTCCTCATAGGTCCTTTCAGGTCACCCAGACCTACGTAATTCGTGAGCCAACTCATTCATTATGGTGTCACTACCGGTGAGTTCGTCCCATGGAATTATCCTATTGTCCATCCTGAAATCGGTGGCTAGCCTCAAAAGAGTCCTGCTCATCCCAGGGTGAAAACTAT